ATAGATTAAAATATTCCATGTGAATAAGCACTACATTTATTCCATGCCAAACTGGTTATTACTAATAGCATTGTAACGCACATTACATTTACCATAATAAAAAATGCAAGTCAAAATCATTTTGTATATATTATAATTTAAAAAATTTTTATAATGATTTCAGTAATGATCATTTTAATAATAATGAACTTGACTATAATTAACAGCATTTTGATACTAATCAAAATGTATTAATTATAATCTAACCCAAAAAAAGTTTATGTTTGTAAAGGACTAGTCTATATTGGAAGTAAAACAGTACAGATATCTGGCACGATCGGGCTATGCAACCAATTCCTATATACAGGGTTCAACAATAGTAGTAGGACAACATTTGAAGTACCGTCGAGTAATTCAAATATAGATTCAAGCATTTAGCATTGTTGGTGTACTGTACAATTTGATCAAGATAAAAAATCATCTAGACTGACTAGTTAATATCTAATTTGTGTAAAAAACCTTGCTTTCACAATAAAACTAACTTTTAATATCATAGAACTTCATTGTCATACTACTACTACTACTACTACTACTACTTTTATTGACACACCCTGTAGACAGTACAGTACATAAATTTGTTAATTGATGTTATCAGCTGTTATCACTTACATTAACACAAATCCAGAAAACACGATATACAGAAATTTTTTCAAATTAACATTTTAAACTACTGTAAATTCAAAAAATTATTAAGAAACTTTTTCTTTATTTCTGATGAACCAGAAAGCATCAAAATCTAGACTTATTGATTTTTTAAATAAAATTTTAACAAATTAGCTTAATTATTCAAACTTCTGTTTTATTGTTAAACAAGTTCCTTCAATATAACATCTATTTAAAATATTTAAATAGATATTCCTTAAATATTATAACGTTGCTCAATTACTGACAGCATGAAAATTTTAATGTTTATCTGGTAGCTTTTAACCTGGCAGAAACTTCTTTTGGCTCCTGTGACTTAGGCAAATGGGAAACAGTAACATATCTTGTTTATGACTGTCTTTGATATAACATATAGATTCATGTTATGAATGGAATTACAGCCTCTAGGGCTAGTGGTCATGTCCACTCTTTTAATTCACAAGCCATACTACAAGCCTTTCTTAATTTTGTAAAAAATATCAGAATTGTTTATAAATACTTGCTTTTTATCAGCTTTAATTTTTATGTTTATATGCATATTTTGTATCTTTATAATTTGTTTTGTTCTAATTTGTGTTGTAAGTACCGGCACATGTAGTGTTGTACTCTGATGGAATGGTGCACTAAATAATGTTCTTCCTTAAATATTCAAAAATCTTTTTGTGTTTGAATCACTAAACATAATTTTGCATGGCAACTCATATGATTTTTATATTTAACTTTAAAAATTTACACTTATACCTCATTACTCTAATTCTTATTGCTTGAAATACTATTTAGTGTAAACTTCAGAGCAAACAAATGGTGAGGCTCTCAAGGTTTGAAAAAACACAAATATTTCAGTCATAAAACAGTAATTGTATTAAACAATCAATTCATGTTAAGATATGACAATAATACATTAAATTTATTAGTATACAAATGCGAAATTATTTTAAATGAAAAATATATAACTGATGTGAAAGTTTAATGACAGAAACTCTTAAATCATTTTTTGTTAGTTCTCATTTATTTCCACTGAAGAAAAAAAGGTATCATATCTTTTAAAATATTAGCAGTAAGTTTAAATATATCAGTTAATCAATTGATCTTATCTCTACCTATTCAAAAATCATATGATGTAATTTTTATGAGATCCATATCAATTTGCATCCAGAAGTGAATTATGACGTCAGACATTAATTAGAAATATTTCCAGCTTCCATACGGTTTTTAAATTTAATAATTTTTAAGAAGCTTTTCTAAAAATGTTAATATCCTCCGTAATTTAGTTTAACTACGTAATTCGAATATGTTGCGTTAAAATTGAAAATATGTAAAATATTTGAAAAATATCCGAATAAATAATCAATTGATTTCACGTAGATCATGACGTAAATATCCTCCGTAATTTAGTTTAACTACGTAATTCGAATATGTTGTGTAAAAATGTTAACTTTGGCAAAAACTGAGTTGTAGATTCTTATCACCAAGGCATCAAAATTAATATAATAGTCAGAAATTTTTCATAAATGGTCTAATGTGAATATGCCAAACTCCTCATCCCCATAGTAAGTCAAGCTCACACCCTTTATACTGTTTACATGGAGAAAGTTATTAAGTTAACAAGGAATAACTAGAACATAAGTTAAGATGGTGTTTATACAGAATGCAATAGGTTGACAACCTTGATTTAGGTTAAATAATTGACAAGAAAATAACTATAGGTGTCAGCTTGACTTTAAGGCTAGTCTGAAGAGAATATTGAATACAATAATGAAAATATTACTTTTTTTTCTACCAATAAAGTCAAGCTGATGCCGATATACAGTAATTTCTTGTCAATTCTTTGGCATAATGTGCATAAATATTTCTTGATTTAGGTTAATGTGATGTCATTCTTCCAGTTGTTAATTCCAGCAGTGGTCTAATGCTGTGACTCACGTCACTAATCCACTTAAGGAAGATTAACTCAGTTGTAGAAAAGGTGTTAAAATAACCCAGTTATTAGAATATCGATCAGGATCGACTAATTCCATTCTGTTAACAATAGAAGTTAATCGGGTTCAAAGACTCGATTGAGGTTAACTCTCCATATAAACATATTAGAAACAGAAATGAGGTCAACTAAATCAGCTGTAGCATGTTGATTAACCTCAACAAACAAAGCAATATCATCCTACTTGCACTAACCAAAGAATCTGAAATATACAGCCAATAAGGAAAAATATCAAAATAAATCTCTCAAACAAATTATAATAAATGATAAAAGTATGCATATTTATCCTATATTATGTATACTCTTACTGTTAATTCTCTATTTTGCAAAGGAGAAACTACTGCTTTCTCCATTGCTAGGCAATCAGAATAAGAGAAAATACTAGTTGCAGTTCACTATATTACCATGTAAATGTTTTAAAAATATATTTGAGGGTAATCCTGAAGTTTATATCAGTCAACATTGACTGCAAATCTTTAAAATCATTATTATAAAATTAGTATAAAAAACCTAATATATATATATAACTGTCTGTAAATGTTTATATGAGAATATTCTTTAACTCATAAATGATAAACCAGTTCAAAACATGCTTTAATCATTATTAAAAATATCTATTTAGTTTTTTCTACATAGATATTTGACATACAGTGGCACCTCACTTAATGAGCACTTTGAATAACAAGCAAAACAAATTATAAAAAAATAACTTGCTTAACAAGTGAAATTTCGCATAATGAGTGACGAGAAAAGGGGAAGTCCCGGATTGTGCACATGCCAAAGTTCTATGTTTAGCACTTGTTCGGCTAGCATCTTAGTGTCACTCGTGATCACACATTTTTCCAAAATTGTACATAAACATCAACAACCATAGCCTGTTATATAATAAACACGTCAAACAATATGCCAAATTCTTGAGGCTATGTAAAAAACTATATATAAATAGTATAAATTAATTAATTTGACTAGAAATTATGCTTCCATCTTGTATTAAATTTAATGACCAATTCCAAATTAAATTTTAGAAATGTCTAAATTAAAAATTAATACGTGTGCCGGACTATGAACGGCTCATGTATTTGTAAAATCTAAGTGACTCGTACAACATGGAATTCATATAAAACAGAATAATCAACAGTGTTATAGGTAGGTCGACTGTAATTATTAAATTTAATACGAGACGACAGCATAACTGCCTACCTCTAGTCAAATTAATCAATTTCTAACATTTAATTATAGCCTTTACATAGCCCCAAGAATTTGGCATATCTTTTGGTTGTTTATGAAATTTTTTCAATTTTTTTGTTTTCTGCAAATTGAATTCGCATTCCGGTTGGTTCATTCCATGCTAGAAGAAAAGATGAAAATGATTCACGCTCATTAACAATAATTTTCTTTTAATAAACATTATGCATAAAAGATTTGAGTATTTTTTCGGCATGGAACGCATTATCGTATTTTACATTAATTTATACGAGAGAAACTGTTTCGCTTAATGAGTATTTTGCATTACGAGTAAGATTTTGGAACAAATAATGGTCTTTAATTAACCACCGTAGTTCTAACTATCGGAATGCCTTTTTCCAAACTCACGACGACACCCAAGTTTCGGAAAAGGCATTCCAACTGTCGAAACTACATCAAGATTATTATAATTTGCTTCTCGTATCCATCTACTTAATATCTACACCGGTTGATGTCGACTGACGTAAACGACAGCATTGCCTATTTCCATAAACATTACAGAATTACCCTCAAAAACAATATGCGATAAAATATTCTACCTATTACTTTACTGCAAAATACTCTAGAATTAATAAAGTCCATATACATACATATACATATATATATATATATATATCTTTGTGGAGTGTTCCCGTGCAATCTTACACTTACTCCCAACAATTAAAATGAGAAAAAGAGGTGATCGAGTACAGATATTATACAGTTTAAAGAATTTATTAGAAATTACCCTGTAATTTATGTATATAGGCAATTTATATAAAAGTAAATTCTTACAAATGATTTTAAACTAAATACAAGTTGTAAATTTCATTGCGTCACAATTGTAAGTTTAACTACGTCACAGTTTTAAATAATCAATTTCAGTATTTAAATGGATAAAACAATAGAAATTAGCATCGCAATTAATTTATCAATCAGGCTTTGATGGAGGAGGACACATCATTCATTCACACGATCTTACGCAACATTGAATCAGAATTTCTGTAATTAATTAAATCTAGAGCATCGAGTAACTATTAAAATACAAGAATTTATCGATTAATATTTTTGTAAACCATTTTTTTTTCTTCTTCCGTAAAAGGAAAATGAAACTCACCGTTTGATAACGAACGGGTCTATCCATTTTGAGTTATAATATTAATTCTATCGATTAAATTTGCTATTTTATTTATATTTTACGTTCTATAATCGATAAGAAATGATCACATGAATAATTTTTGTTAAATAAACGACATTAATCGACAATTTCACTTATATAAATTCACAATAAAATGGCGACTGTAAACGATGGTTAAATGTCTGCTGGCGATTTACGTCACAGTTACGATTATTTACGTTTAAATGATATCACTTCGTTATAATTATTTATTGCATCTTCTTATATAAAAATAAGTATATTTTATTTCAAGANAAATATTAAAAAGTAGCAAGACTTGAATGATGAGGAAACATAATATTTAAATAATTTTCGATTTTTTTAGAATGAATAATACGTTACATACATCAAAAATAATCTTAGAAAGTTCAACTCCAAATTTGCAATATTAAATTGCTGAAGAGGAGGAAGAGGAGAAGGAGAAGGAGGAGGAGGAGGAGGAAGAGGGAGAAAACTCGAAAAGTTAAATAAATTTTCTGGTATGTTAGAATAATAAAGGTAATTTATAGCTAGTCAGAAAGCCGTGTGACGTGAGATATTTGAGTTGTGTGACATAATCCGTCTCTTATAAAGATTACGGCTGTCTTCTTGTAAAGATGAAATTTCTACGAGTGTACAATGTTAATGTAATGATCATATCTCATTTAACGCTGCTTCGGGCATTCGAATAAACTTCTAGGAAACTTTTATATGCTTATTTTATACATAAATCGATTCTTTTATTGTTAGATAATAAATATACGGTGTTTTCTTTGTTAATTTTATGTGTTTTTTGTAGTTTTTTTTAAGTCTATGTCTTGCAGGATTACGTGCAATTTTGTGGTGGATATATGTAGTAAAATTGCTCAATTTAATCGTCATAATGGAGTAAAAAGTGTAAATTACAGTATTATGTATATAATTGTTTAGTTTATTATATGTATTTTTACTTTATATTATGAGAAATATGTGAATTCTTTTGTTGGCGCGTCGCGTCGCGTTGTGTCGCATCGCTGGATTTTGTTGTAAAGAATACTGTAAACGAGATAAAAATTACTTAATTGGAGCGTGATAATGGAGCGAAAAATGTAAAATGGAATTACTTTTGTACAAAATTTTAATTTTTTAATAGTTATCTTAATTATTTTTGTTTTATTTTGTGAGAAAATTAAGATTATTCTAATAACGCGTCGCGTCGCGAGATTAAGTTACGAAGTAATGGTAAAACTGCTAAATTTAAGTACAAAAATTAGATAGAAAACGAGGAAAAAGGAATATTTTAGTACGAAATTTTATTTTTTAACGATTTATTTTTTATTAATTTATGTTATTTTCTAAAAAATGTGGACTGCTTTAGTGGCGCGTCGCTTCGTCGCTAGCGCCATTAAGCGGTAAATTAAAGGATTCTATTGATTACGCGCCATTTTGTTTTATATTTTTAATTACAGAAATCGTTCCAAAATAAAAAATTAAAGCATTTTAAGAATGAAATTTTATTTTATGTGTAATATTTATTAAAATTTTACCAGTTTCGCGCCGGCCCGCGAAACACGCGACGCGCCGTTAATTACAATAGATATTACAGTTGTCATTTAAACACGCTAAAAATTTACAGAATTTTCATAATAAATTTAGAACATGTAACATTATCAAAATTCTGTAATTTCTCAAATTTAATTGTTAAATAACGTGAATAAGTAGTTTAAATTCCATTAATTAATGGCGAAACATGCAATTTATCATTAAATTCTTTAGTTTTTCTTGCTTCTTCATCGTTAAACCTTTACGCGTAATTAAAATATTAAAGGATAGAATGGCGTATTATTAAAAAGAACTGTTAGGTGGCGATGTGAAAGCGTGTTGCGCTTCCACTAGGGGTCGACCCGCCTTGGGTACAAAAGTATTGTTTAATAACCAATTACGTAATTCGTTTTATTTGTTATGCAAGAAACGGGCAACGTAATTGGCTGTCTTATTTAGGGCCGATTTTAATCCCGCTTTGTGATAACATTTGAATACTTGAGGCGTTTTGGCGAAACGATGATTATTCAGTAAAGCGGAATAATTGTACTTCGACAAAGACATTCAAACCGCGTTTTTTTTAAAGATTGTTACATTTATACTTAAATTTACGGTTGAACATGGTTGTTAAGGATGACAGCCTACCGTTCTGAGGATCCGGGATAGATTCCGACTGGTCGAAAAATCCAGGAATTTTTCGGGTGTGGTCCGTTCGGATATGTCGGCCCCGTCCCTCACCATCCCGCCGACCCATTGTGGGCCTGGCCGAATCCATTACGGCATTGTAGGAAATGGCCCTCTTAGTGCCCACAAGGCGAAAAGAGTTTAAAAAACTTAGCAACAGTTGAACATAAGTTTGAAAATTTACAATCAACTGGGATTTGAAGTTTAAGCGTTTTAAGCATGCTTTACGGCCAACATCTAAATTTATGATTGGTCAAAGTTGTCGGCCATATCGTTATGTTCGACGATAATTCTTTTGGCCGTCGATGCAGATATACTCGCACGCTTTCACCGATGTTGTTAACAATATATCAAAGTTATATTTTGATGGCTGAAGTAATAAAATTAGACATTTTAAATGTCCATTATTATTTGGTAGGTGAATCACGTATTGAAAAATACGCCGCCACTCACTGTTCTATCACGTGATTGCTACAAAAGTTTTTTGTAGCAATCACGCGATAGAACAGCGAATGGCAGAGAAAGTTCTCGGGAAATACGCCGGACATATCACGTGGCTAAGGCGAGTGAGGTCGCGTGACGTTTCGTATATGTTCGGCGTGCCGATCCGCGACGAAAACAAGCTTAAGCAATGGTGACTAGAACGGTGCACGGTTGCTAAGCAGTCCGACGATTTTTAGTTTATAACTCTTTTTATATGGATCGCCTCCAAAAATCTCTGTATGTTTTCCAAAACCTATCAAATATCTCTCTTTCAAAAATATCAAAAGAGAACGCGTAATGATCTAATACGATTTATATAAAATTTTTTCACACAGGTCTTTTTATATAGAAATGAAACTTCATTAAATAGAAATGCTTTTACACGTTAAAAAACAAATAGCTCTAAAATACCATAGAAAAATTTGTCGAAAAGAAATTCATAACGTAAAACTCATTTGGAAGGAAAATCGTTTTCGATTCTGTCGCAACCAATCAACGCGCATCATCCACAAGTCCAAGCGTACGTGAAGTCATATTTTTGCCCATCATCTTTAAATGGCTGTCTGCACGATGCAGATGTGCGAAGTTGAACTCTTACACGATGTAACAGTAAAATTGTAAGGTTTTTATCACCAGGAATCGATATTCTGTTAGCATTCATTTTTCTTTTGAAACACTCATTAGTAAAAATAAAAGATTTGACAAAACTTGTATATTTTAAATGCTTTATTATCTACTTTCAGTTGCAGAAAGAAGCTGCATACATTAAATTTAAATCATTAATTTTACCCCCAAATAAAGCCTTACGTCTCAAAAAATAATTACTTTCAAAATATTTTCAATTAAATAATTCGCAAAACATTCTGACAGCTGCACCATTTTGAAACTGTGGCGCTGCTCGATGCGCGTTGTTAAAAGACCTTCGGCACCGATTGCGGTGAAGGTAGAATTTCATTTTGGAAATGGCCCGATAGAGCCTGTTTGTCGCGGGCACTGCTCGAGTTGTGTAGAAATATGTCGAGACGAGAATGGAGAAGATGTGATGTTGTAACACCACGTTAGCTCCGACGCTAGAATTTGTGATTATCTCCTCGGAATCCATTCGCCACAGCTTTGAATGAATGCCAAGTGACTAATTCGACAGGTTTCGGCTTTGACTCTAGGATTTCTGTCTTTGTGTGGCCCGAAATAAGAAGATTCCTTCTTTAATTTTGCTGCTGTCGGTTACGGGAAAACTCCTTGAAGGAAAAGGAATTACTTCTGTCGTTTTCCAAGGCCTCATGAAGTTTTTCATTAATCCAAGTTTAATGTGAAAGAGGGAAGAGAGGAATTTTCTTTGGGTCTACTAGCGGCACTTATTTTGTATTTCTTTCTCTAGGTATGTATTCTTCACTCTCTCAAATCTCTGTCGTCACAGATGGTTGCACACACAAAAAGTAGCAGTTTTTCATTAACACTCCCTATAATACCCTAAGTGATGCAATAACCTTAAAATCAGCATGGATTATCCGTCAATGACTGCGCTATTTTCAAACAATATAAAATTTTTCCCACTAGGAAGGTTTTGCAGACAACAGAATTTGCCTTATTTTAATGTTTGTGTAATTTACATTTTATTCTTAAAAATTGCAAATACAAAAAATTGTTGCTGGATGGAGAATTTTGAAGGTTACCTTCACATTCTGTACTCCAAAATACATTAGATACAGTGGTGCATTATAGCTCAGAGGGGCTAGACAAATTTGAATTAGGAGGCTCCGTGTACAGTATTGATTTCATACATTTTTCCTTAGGGATTGGTTTTGGGGAAAATATTTTGGATTTGGAGCATTCTATTGGTGGGAACCCCAGGTAGTAGCTCTTTTTTGCCCATCGGATTAGGCACCACTGCTGAAAAAAATCGTTAAAATAAATGTTTATAGTTTCAAAGGCATGTAAATGGCACAGAATCACATGGTATTTTCTGGGTTTTCTTTACATTTGTAACGCCTAAATAAGGGCCAATTTACCATTAAAAGTCCTCCCGGCAGGCATTCTACTGGTATATGTCAGCACTCTCCTAATTCCTCCATTACAATTGTTGGCTCGTCATTGGTGGATTGTTCATTACTTCATTTCTTTTCCTCAGTAGTCTTAGATAAAAAAGAATAAAAGGTTCGTTTAGATTACTAACACCCTATCCAGTTTTCTATCGTACTTTTTCCTACTTTTGCTTCCTACTTTGAAGGAAATTCATATATCAAATATATGTAATTATATAAACCCTGACAAGGGACTAGTTGAATTATGAGCCCCACCAGGGTTGCACCAGTAGTGTCTGGCGCCTATATGCAAAACTTTAGTTGGCAAAGTTTTGTTGCAAAATTAATTATTTTGAGCTTTCTACAATTTCTTTAAAATTTTCTTCAGACATATAATCATTTAAAAATTGATTTAGATCATTCAATGTATCTAAAGCAAGTTGGACATTCATGAATGAAGACTGCAGTGTTTTGTTGACAAAATTCACTTGATTTGGAATATCATACCAATCTTTAATACAATAAATAAATGTAAATGTAGCAATTTTTTTCACATAGACATCTGGCAAATATTTGGATTGTTTGACTGGTTTTGAAGTCATTACAAATTTCAAATAAAGCATCATATGCTTTGAGTAAATATTTATAAAGAGGTTTCGTGGCATCGATTCTGCTTGACTACCGTGTTTCGGATAATGGCTTTACTTTAAGGTTAAATCAGTTACGTGATTAGTTAAATATTCTATTTTAGAAAGAAAATTTTGTGTAACTCATGTACTATATTATATGGAGGTTATGTATATGATGTACTGATTGTACAGAATACAAAAACATTATCAACATAATCAATAGCAATCCATACGGATTAAAAATGGCCCTGGACCAATTCAGTAATAAATAAGCACACTTCTTAGATCTAATCATTGTCCTAATAAATGGGGAGATATACACAAAAGTATATGTTAAACCAATATCCTTTGCTGCTCAAACGATCCTCCAAGATACAAAATGATGGTATTCAAAGCCCTTATCACAAAGGCTTACACACATTGCACAGATATAAGACACACCATAAAAGAGTTGAATGGGATTGGAAACATAGCAGCCACTCACATACAACCAATAGGCCTCTAACACCTTAGTTAATACATACAACCACAGAAGACACCCCAAAAAAAGATAAACCCCCTCCATCCATGACCAATAACATACAAGTTGCTAGATAAACCTTCAGAAGGTCTATTAGATGGGGCAACAAGCAACTAACCCATAAGTGCAACAATACAGTTTATCAGTGGCCTGCTGTCCATAGAAGCCTGCTGTGGAAACACTGCTTCCCTTGTATTTTCTAAAATATAAATACATATTATGTGATTATTTTCATATTTTAATATACTTTGAATTAATTAAAATTAATATTTTATTATAACCGCATTATGTATCTTATTACAAATTTCTATACTACATATGAAAACAATGATAAGATTGCTGTTGTATATTCAAATATAAATTTATATATGCATATTCTCAATGGAAGCATTGTATTGTTGAATATAGGATAGCTTCCATGGTGAAAATATTTGAATCATGTAAAGCAGCCAGATTACATGCATTTGTGCATGCGCTTTACAGAGCACCAATCTCATATGGTTTAGCTTATGGATGCTACACACCAAAATATCATATAATGCTTCTAATGATTCTATCCAAGGCCAACACAGCTTCCCTATCATCAAATGTCACTGCATGCCACTGGTATGTGATGACTTTGTTACTACAATTTTAATTTTTAAGCTTTTTATCTATTATAATTATTTATTTAATTTTCCATTATCTGTTAAAGTAAAAAAAGGACAGTTGCATTAAAAATGAGGACAAAAAGAGCACATAGTTATTATGATGTAAAGATTTCTAACTTTTAAATTCATTTAGTTAAATTGCTTTTTTCCAAATTATTCCTTACTATCTATTTTGCAGAAAAATAAAAATTATTTTCTAAAAACAACATTTAATATCATTATAGAGTCATAAAAATATGATATTTTGTCATTCAATCCTACTGATGTTTAGATCTAACATTAAGCAGGCAACACGAACAGTAACAAAAAAGAACTTTATTAGAAAAGGTTAGAACTGTCACAGACATCCTCGGGCAACACCCGGGCAAAATCCAACGAACTTTCGCGCCTTTTCTTTTTTAACGTTGCCAGCCACTCTTGTTGGCAAGTGTTGCCAGACAGAGTTCGTGANCAGTTTAATCATTATAATTATTCATGTATTAATTTTTCTGTGTAATTATTGATAAATTAATTTAATGATTATTAATTTCTATTTAGTTTAGTTGTAACATGGAGATAGATTATTATTAATGTACACAGGGTACCAAACCATGTCACGATAGAAGCCTTATATCACTTATTGAGCTACATTCTATGTTAGATCAGTATTAAGTTTAAGTTTATAAAAAGAAATTGTATAAGTAGACTGTATGGAAGCCCCAGTAAGGATCTAAAGGAGGCTTATTCTATGACATATTTTAAGTACTCGTGGTGGCCAAACTGTGGATTGCGAGCCACAAATTGGTTATCATGAGTATATAGAATGTCATAAAAAAGACCATACTAGGTTTATTTTTCTGGTTCTAGTAGATATAGAAGTTTGAAAATTTAGGGGTATGAATAAATCTAAAAAACTTGGAATTTTTTGTAATATTTTGAATCTTTAACTTTAAAAGGTCAAATGAATATAACTTTAAAATTTCATATGATAACCTTTATCTTGTATCATATTATTTAAAAGAATTTTAATGCTGAATCCAATAGAGCAATTAGTGTGAATTTAATGTTTCAATGTCTAAAAAAGTCAAACTATCAAAACAGCAGTGGCATGCTGTCCTTGGAAGCAGTAGAAGCGGCACTTCCCTTGTATTTTCTAAAGTATAAAGACATATTGCGTGATTATTTTGATATTTTAATATACTTTGAATTAATTAAAATTAATATTTTATTATAATTGCATTATGTATCTTATTAGAAATTTCTTTACTACATGTGAAAAAAAAATGATAAGATTGCTATTGTATATTCGAATATAAATTTGTATATGCATATTCTCAATAAAAGTGCTGTATTGTTGAATATGGAATAGCTTCCACGGCAAAAATATTTGAATGGTGTTGTGAGGGTCAAAAGGGGTGAAGAATTTTATGAATAAAATAATCAGTTGAAGAAGAAACTAAAAACTTTAGATAAAATAATATTTCGAACTTCACCAAGATTTTATCTACAAAAACGGATGAAACAGCAGAATTTTGAAAGGAAGTTGATTTCCTTTCCCAGGCGAACTGGTGATCAGCTGATAAGGTTGCACCCAGGATGTAAGAGAGAATAAAAAGGGCCGTTTTCGCGCCATTCAGAGAGCAGTCCAATTCGAGCAGTAGACGGATTGAGAAGTATCCTGCCATATGCTCCATAAAAGATCTCCGAAGCTGTCCATAAAGTAGGAAACTGCTATACTAGGGAGAATACTTAAGAAGTCATACATACGACTCCAACATACGACATACGACATGGATATACTGAAGTATAACATACAAGAAGATGACCGAAAGGAAAGATAACTGAATAAACCCCAATAGAAAATACAAGAAGAGGTATACATAAGGAAGGAAGGCGATCTTCGTGCAGATACAGAAGCTACAGAAGGTAATACAAGCTCTGAATAGATCGATGTAAACTCTCTCACGCGAGGTTAGAAATAAGATAGTTTAAGTTAGAGTTAGATATAGGTTAGATCCATCTTTGTATATTCTTTATTATTCAATTTATTAAATATTTACTTGTTTACATAATGACTTGGTTTTTGGTGAACATCCATTTATATTTAAGTTCCCATGTTTCTTCGATCTCTGAGATTGGGGATAACGCGTGTTAATCCGCGTGTAAAATAATCGATTAACTGGTGTCTAGGAATCCTGACGTTGGATAAAGACTTTGCCGTCTTTATATCCTTTCTAATATTAAAAAGTCCTCCCGGTCAAAATCCTGATTAGGATCGGATCTCTCGATCCGAAACCCAGAGAACAGATTTCGGTTAATCTGAGCCCGTAAGAGGTGTAGGATCAACCCTATACCCGTGGCAGATCTCACAGTGTAAAGCAGCTAGATTACAGGCATTCGCACATACACTTTACAGAACACCAACCTCGTGCGGTTTAGCTGGTGGATGCTACACACTGCTATACACCAAAATATCGTATAATGCTTCCAACGATCCTATTCAGGGCCGGCACAGCTTCCCCATCATCAAATGTCACCACATGCCACTGCAGTTTATGACTTATTGCATAATGACAAGGACCCAATCGATCCTACCACAGTGCCAGCAGTGTACGAAATACTCTTCATTCTAGGTCTAGGAAACAGAGTCAGCTAAAATATAAGGTACACATCCTGAAATTTTCCTACCAGGCTCAGGAAGCACCAGTACAACATATATAAAGGAAAAGCACCACAATGCTGGCTATTATGGCAACGGTTCCAGAGAATATACCATATTCCATGGACACAAAACTCAAAACTTTCAGGAATCAACGCACCAGAAAAACTCCAGATATTAAAATAAAAAATATACTGTATATACTTATGCACAATTCAACTTTTTTTGAGTAAATGTTTGAAAATTTTGCACAGGAAATAATTTCAACTTACAATCAATGGATTTATATTTATCTATTAAATCACATCACAGTTAAACAAAATGAATAAATTTCATTTTACTTCAGTGTTTATGAAATTATTTACATTGGGATTAAACTTTAAAATGCAGGGTAAACCAAAAACGAAATTAACAAGAATGAAATAGAATAACGCATGCCACATTCAAAAACAATTATTTCAGTCAACGTTTAGGCTTTCTTACAGTCTCATTCAGTTATCTGACACAAAATTGCAGTGCCTCTCTTGATCCAAAAACTTTGAGAATGAGCAGATGGAAGAGGAATGGCAATTATGAAATTTGAAGAGTGACCTGAAATATTAAAAGATTTTAAATTACTGACAATTTAATTAATTAATATATATATATATTACATAATATTTAATTCTAAAAATAAAATTATTTTACATTTTTAATTTATTACTTTTGAAAGAGGACCATCTATACCTTACACCCAGAGGAGGGCAAGCAGGCTGCCATCTCACTGTGCAGATATACACACCTACTACCAAGTAAATTGATACTACAGTTTCTGTAAATATTTGAGTGTAATTTGAGTATGCTTGCTTGTAGGTACCATCAAATGCATCTTTTACATGATGGCTGAGTAGTTATGCTGTCGGCCTACAACTCTGGATGAGCCAGGAACAAATCCAGATGAATTGAAAAATCCTAGGAATTTTCTGGGGGTGGTCTGTTCTGGATGTGTCGGGCCCCTCCCTCATTTCCCAGCCACCCTGTTATGGGCCAAGCCAAGCCCACAAATAGGCTTGTTAAAAGGCCCTCTTAGTGCCTACGGGCAGAAGAGAGCAAAAAAAAAAGAAAAAACCCTGGGAGGGGAACATAAAGCTGAAGATGAAGAGAGGGAGTGGTTTGAGGATGGCATTGTTACTACTTCATTTCTTTACTTTTATAGTTATTGCACTTTGGATGGTTTAACAAAAGAACTGCAAAATCTTGGATTTAAAATTAAAGAGCACAACATTTTCCCCATACCACACTATTCCCCACAGCTGAAGGAATGTGCCCTGTGATTACAATGGCAATCCACTCAAACATGCAGAAGCTTGTTTGCACAAAGCTTGTACATCCACAATAACATAACTGGAAGAACTGGCGTCTTTTTTGGATCCTCTTAATGTTCTTTTTGTTATAAGATGAGAACGTGAGGGTGGCAATAAGACTAACAACTTCTTTGTGATGCATACTACCCATGTATTTGGTAGACACTTAAAGGACCTGCAGATGCTATTAATTAAGCAATTAAGGTGGCTAATATATGTTGCTTCGGTAAGACAATGAGAATTAACGGCAATACCGAACGATGTCATTTTTTAATGTGTTTGTAGGAGGATACATTCATCCATCACCACCTGGCCACCCTCATTTATGGATCTTGTCAAACCCGTAATAGTTTGGTCAAAAGATCCTAAGTGTTCACAAGGTAGAAAGAGTTAAAAATGAAAAAAAAAAAAAAATGCTGAAAGATGAACTAAACCAAGAACTTGCTGATGTAGAGGTAAACACGAGAGAATACTAATTATTAGTGTGTAGTGAAACTTAATATCGATAAGTTAATCAAAATCATCAGAACTGTCTCTTCTGGGGAGAGATGAGACTACTCCACACTAGCATTGTAGAGAAATGTGAAATTTATAATAATTCCATTAATAATATGTGCATAAACAGCAGGAAGAAGGATTCCCCCTCCCTTCCTGGCTATGTATCATTTGCATTGACTGTCACTACTGTTGTGGTTTACCTCCTTCAATTGTTTATGCTATTAGTGCCTATCCTGTCATTCTTACTTACTGATGCCTCATTCCACTGTAAACTGGCTGTAGACAAAGACAGTCCATTAACTGGGCCAAAAACATTAGCATTTTTTAAATTTCACCCAACGTTATGGTAGTTCATTTGAATCAATGCAAAATTAATCTTTGAGAATCATTTCTGAAGCTTTGCCTTGATTTCATCTCTACATTTTGTAATCAATCTTAGAGGCTTATTTCAATTCCAAATCATTTTGCAGGAAGACTACATACAGAAATTACTGTATAACTATATTAAATTCACTAAATTATGCAGTAATAGTACTAAAAAAAGAAACAAAATTATCATAAAATTATTGTTTTTGTCTTTTTTTCAAATATTTATAGATAATGTAACGTACCAGTAGTAGATAATGTTCCTGCTCTCTCTGCAGTTTTATATAATGGAGCAAGATAATGCCTGTGTGACGGTTCGTAATTAATATCTGGTTCCACATGCAACACCGGAAGTGGAGGATTTATCACTCCTGGTTGGGCGTCACACAGTTTTGTTGTCAAAATGTCAAAATCAGCTGCGTCTAGAAACAGTCCATGTATGTGAACTCCATTCCGAGTTTTTGGGAGCTGTAAACATAAAATAAAACTGTTGCAAATTATCAATCATTATATATATTAATTTATAAATTTTTAAATATATTTATCAAACAGTTAATATCAGCTTCAAATAAAAAGTTTTTTAATAACAATCCACGAAACCTTTTTTTTTACAAGTGTTATGTTTGTAGTAAACTCCATAAATGCTTTCAACTTCCACCGAGGTCTGCTTCAGGTGGTGACTGACTGTGTTTCCTCCTGACCGTCGTAATGATGTCGCCAGAAATTTGAATAATTGTGCATGTCGGGTTTCACCCCTCCGACTGTCCCTGTTCAAATTCCTCGAACAAATACCTCCATGCCTGCACGATCGTTTCACCATCTTTGAAGTTGATGCAGGTGCCCCCACTGTTAGCTTTATGAATCTCCCAGGCCTCCAGGTGATGGGCACACCACCGCCTTATCAATCTTTGTTACCGACCCTGAAATATGGGCGGACTACCGGAACACCAGACTAATCAGACAAGCGTTTCGAACTGATCATATCCGTCACCTGGAAACGATCATACAGGCATGGAGGTATTTGTTTGAGGAATTCGAACAGGAACAGTCAGAGGGGTGAAATCCGACACGTGCAATTATTTACATCTCTGGCGACATCGTTACGACGGTCAGGAGGAAACATGGTCAAGCTTAGTTCACACTGGGCACAATTCGCTGGCGAAAGCGAAAAACAGAGCGAATAACTGGTGAAACATGACTCGTTTGACGGGTTATTTGCTCTGTTTTTCGCTTTCGCCAATGAATCGTGCTCAGTGTGAACTAAGCTTCAGTCACTACCTGAAGCAGACCTCGGTGGAGGTCGAAAGCGTTTGTGAAGTTTACTACGGAAACACTTGTAAAAAAAGGTTTCGTGGATTGTTATTATTCAACGCAGTGTTAAGTGGTTGGAAATCATTTTGTCTTAAAAAGTTTTTTGTTCCAAAATTTCCCAATGGGGGAAATTTGACACTACTGTCACTGTAATTTGCATATTAGGTAAGCTTGTGTAAAATCTGTAGAATTTATAAAGGGTTACAAAGAGAAGTGGATTATGAAAGCATAAGTCGTCATGCTTTCATTACTTGATAAACTTTACTATCAAAGAAGCAGCAATGCTATGTCATAATTTAAGAAGAGTGTTGCCTAATACAGAAAACAGGTAATTTTCAGTTAACAGATTGTAAAAATAAAATTAGTTTCTAACCCGATATACTTATTCAATGATACTTAAAAATGACAAATTCTTCTATATGTTGATGAATCTGGCTCCTCAAAATAGCTATTTACTGTAGCAATTACCTCAGAATCCAATGAAAATCTCTATTCCAAGCTGTTTTTTTGAGGTTAGGAACAAAAAATTACCAGGAACCAAATTTGGCAAATGAAGCAATAATTTAAAATCCAATTTGTGAATTTTGGGAATTGACAGTTGCAGAAATGTGTGCTGGTGGTTGTCCCAGTGGAAAAATGCTTTTGTTTTGGTCAAATGAGAAATTTTCTTTGATTTTTGTCAGTTAGCTGTTGCAATAGATTGATATAATACTTGCTATTTGTCATTTTCCCTTTTTTTAAGTAGTCGATGCAGATAATTCCACAAGAATCCCAAAACACCGTCACCAAACAGGTAACTGTGTTTCTGAAAGAATTACCTGTGTTACAACTTTTACAACTTACCATTTCTACTTCTTTGGGGGGGTGGAGGTTTCCATTGTTTGGACTGTTTTTTGATTTCCGGGGTATGGGTTCCATCTTTGGTTATAAATTGGTGCATAAAGTCCAGAGGCAAATCTAACATTACAAAAACCCCTTTCTTAGAATTTTTAAGTAATAAATTAAAAAAAATATATTTTTATTATTTGTAGCTTGCTTCTAAATACTTTAAGCAGTTATAGCAAAGAATGTCAATTAACTGGTCTCCTCCTTGTTTAGAAAATTTCCCAAAAAGCTCATCATAAAATAGATTACAATTAGATATGTTTCAAATCACACATTTTAAAAAATCTTAGACCTTACCTATCTGAGCATTAATTCATAGAAAGTAAAGTGGTACCTCATATTTTGAACAACTAAATTTGAATGATCTAGAGTTTGAAAGTAAAATTTCAGAGAAATTAAACCCAGAGTTTGAATGATGCTTTTATGTTCAAATTGTGCAAACAGTAAAAAAATGTGATGGCTGCATAAATGCCATTTATCGTTCTCCTAATTTGCAAGAAAACCAAGCAGCTGCATAGTGACCTTAAGAAACAGGACATCACCACTCCTCACTATGGTACAGTTAATGCAATTTTAATTTTATTATACAGTAGTGATGTATTTTATTTGTTGTTTTTGTGTTTTATAATTAAGTATTTAGAAAATTTAATTGAGTTATTTTTTACCTTAAATTATGTGTATTTGCTATTTAATTTTATCAAAATGGGTATCTTTTAGGGTTTGGAAATGGATTAATTTGTTTTCCATTATTTCTAATGGGGAAAATTGATTTGGACTTTGAATGGCTTCCTGGAAGGAATTAATTTCAAAGTACGAAGCACCACTGTATAAGAAAGCTATGTGCTGGCCAGTGGCCACATTAATTATTTTTTAACTTCAAATCTATACAAATTTAGAAATTTCTTATTAATGGGATAAGGCATTGTGACATATACAACATGACAACAAATTTATTTTAAAAATAATATTTTACAGGGACTATATCTATTAATACTGCAAGTATTAAATTACATTTAATGCAGGCAATTCATCATTTCCAGCAGCTTCTTTTAAGTATTTCGAAAATTCCACTTGAGATAAGTAAAATGCTTTTACTTGAAAATGAAAATTTAGTTGATCTATTGGCAACTTATGTTTCCTGGCATGATTTTGCAAAATTCCTGTTAAAAAACCTATAAAAAAATTAATAATGTAATAAAAAAATATAAATGAAATATTCTTAAATTAAATACAATTTTACCTTGTGGATGAAAGAAAGCTGGTAACCAGTATGAATCTAGCTTCTCATAAAAAATCCAGTGCTATAAAAAAGCATTAAAAACATTAATTTGTATCAAATTTTGTGGAAGTTAAATAACAATTCTAAATTATTAGTATAAGTTTGAAATATCTAATTAGATCTTTTAACTTATTAAATACAAGGTGGGAAAGGACTTAGATCCCTGCAACAGAATATAGGATGTACCCAAAGAATGTACATTCAGGGTTCCTACTCAATTTTTATTTTGAATTCCATGACTTTCCCTGACCAACTTTGTCCGAATTCCCTGATCCTCACATTTCTTACAGTATGGAATATCCACATAATAAAACAGCATTTTACTTACTATGAACATTGAGTACATCTATTTCCTTTTTTACACAGTTGATACGTTCCAAAGACTGTCCCAAAAAGTATAATATATACATTCTGTTGAAAAATGTTTGATAGGATCAACAACTTCAATGTAATAAAAAAATAAGCAATTTACAAATGAAACATGAGCATTTTTATTTTATCATCATTTATCATTATTATTTCTATGTAAATCTTGTAAACATAAGGAAGCACAAAATCAACAAACAGTATTCTCTGATATACAAATAGTACTGTACTGTGCTTAAAAAAGATAAACTCTTGACTTAGAAACATGTCATTTTAAAACCATTCTTTCAACAAAAAGGGTTAACGTTTGCTTTTTAAACAGCAAAATAATTTTAACAAAAATTTAAATTTAAAAATTTTCAAATAAAGCGTTTTCCCCATGTAAAAAATCGATCATGCTAACTAGTTGATATTCAAAAGTATAACATACTACAGTGTTACTACAGGTATATGATCAATATTAACAGTTTTTAAGCACTAAATTTGTCAAATTCAGTGGATTTTGGTGAATTTAGGACTTAAAAACTGTTATTTGTTACCCAACTTTATTTCTATTAAACTAATTATTAAACTATGTATCAAAGTGCAGGAAATTAATGAATTCTGTAGTCTGTTACAAAAGTATAAATTTATACCTTAAAAAATTTTTATAAAATTTTAATATACAGGAAAGAAATTGGAAGTTATGTTTTGTTACACAATAAAAATTATAACTGATAAATATTTGTAATTTATCAATTTTCACACTTTGTTCTCATTTTTTAAAATCAGCTCATTAATACCTTACCTTAAATTGAGGATGTGAATGATAATTGTGTGGGGGTTTGGAAGGATTAAAATATTTTCAAAAAATTTTAATCGATATAACATTATCAAGAGTATTGCACGTTATTTTCTCAAATTCACGATAGATCGTTTTTAAAATCTCAAAATATTTAAAATTTAAAAATGATTGATCTGGCAGTATATTATATTAGGGACTGTTTGATCTCCAGAGTTTAGAAATGCTCTCCTCAGTGTTGCATTTTATAATAATTCTTCACATAAACAATTAATGTTAGTTTTAAAAGTGGCCTGCAACTGTCAGTAAAAGTGAACCTTTGTATTAACTATCAAAATGTTAAAACTAAATTTTCAAAAAAATTAAAACAATTTGATGTGATTTCAAGTTCTGATTTTGAATGATTTTAAAAAATATTTTTACAATTCAATAGAACAATAAGTATGACTTATTAAAATTAATTCATTATATGCAATTTGCAAAGTTCAGCACTAAGCACCCCAGAAAAATTTTCAGTGTTTTTGGAAGATAGTTTTGATGATATCAGATAAGGAAAGCAGTTATGCACATATGAAAGATACAAAACTTTTATAAAAGATGAATTTGTACATCTAGTGATGTCCTCTAATACTAAAAATGTTTTGATAGAAAAACAGATTCTGCTATATTCGTAATAAAGGTTGCAGCATTACTTCTTGCCATCTGCAGATGGCTACACTTGGTCAGCCATATTCCATATTCTGCAAACGAAATCAACAAGGCAGCTAAGCAGACAGATTTCCCGACTTTCCCTGACTTATTCCGAACACTAGTGAAAATTCCTGATTATCCAGGTGTGTAGGAACCTGTGTAACATTGAGCACATTATGTAACATGCAAAACTCTGTAACCATTTGATGTAAGTCAATAAAATCTTTCAGCAAGCAATTACTTGTTAAATTCTGATCCTAAATGATGTGTCACATGACTCCTTCCCATTTACAGTTTTGGAGTTGCATTCAATATGGCCGCTGTCATTTTGATGGCGGCCATGAGTGTAAAACACATCAATCTGTTTTCCCCTTGGTCTAATGTGTTCCTGACAGAAGCGAATTACCTTTCGGTACATTCTATATTATGTAGCAGGGGTGTTAAGTGACTTTCTTTTCCACCATGTAGATTAAAATAAAGTAACTGCAGAAATATGAAATATAAATCTTTACTAACTATTGTAATTTTCTATTTTAAATTAATAATATTAGATGACATGGATTACAGACTTTTTTACCATTTTTATGTCATACTATAATTCTAACTTAGTTTGTAATAAATGCTTATCATTGTAATGAAATAATTAAAATTATTTACCTTGTAAAATTCCATTCTCAACACTAAATCATTGATCCAACTTCCAAGCGATTTCATTGATAAATAAGATGACTTTGACCAAAGATGCGGAACCTAACGAAATATTACAAATGAAAAACAATCTATTCATTATATGATAAATAGTATCCTATTTTATATAGAGTTGTATTTATAGAAATTCTCATAATTACTAGTGATGTAACAAATATTCGGTTACTATTCGGTATTTGGCCTATTCAGCCTATTTTTCACTATTCGGCCGAATACTGAATACCTAAAAACAGGAGTAATAAGTAACAAAAACACAGTAAATTAATCATTTTGGTATTTAGATTTAATGTTATTGAGTTAATGTTGTTTGTTTATATTTATTTATAACTTGTAACATGCACAAAATAAAAAAGAAAATAATATTAATCACATGTATTCACAATTTATAATTACCAAGATCAGCACACGTACACACCTATCGTTGGAGAATCCTTGCACATTTGAGGATCTGACCCTGCCTATCCTTCTTTTTAAGCGCTTGTCTTTGCTCTTCCCTTTCTCTTTTCTCTATCACTCTAGTCCACGTATGCCTATGTATATATCATAATATGCGCTCACGATACTTTCGATTCGTCACTTTTCCATCATAGAGTTCCCATTTTACAATTATGTGACTCAGCCTGATGATAACAGAGAAAAGAGACAGATAGGACATCGGTATAAATCACAGTTATGATTTCACAGATTCGAGACAGCTTGATAGCCCGAACGGCCCCAGGCTTTCGCCCGTGCACGCTAAGTGACTTTCATTACAAGCATTTAGCTTTCCGAAGTCTATGACAACAATTGTTTGGCATTGATGGCCACGAATTTCGTGCCAATAAGCTGCCTCGACTTGTTAAATTATGTCATCAACTCAATTTCATATTTATTTTCACATTTTCACTTTGCGGTCCTTCTCTGTTCTTTTTCCGTTATTTACACGTGTAGGTCATTTCGTTGTTATCCACATTTGATATCATCATTTATCACATACTTCCATGACACTCTTGTCTCTCCACTACAACTGCCAAGAATTAACTCAATTGGCGAAGCATAGTGACAGCGGGCCAATAGAGAGCAGGATCCTTGCCATAATGTGGTTTGCGCGCCAATTTTCGTACGTGCGTTAATCAAGCCGAATAGTTTGGCCAAATAGTCGAATTTATTTGTAATCATTTGTAATTATGAGAATTTCTATGTTTTATTAATTTTATACTGTATGGCATTTATCACAGATTTCATTTATAAGATTTTTTTTATTGATTTGTCATGTGAGACACAATCTGTTTAAATCTTTATCTTTTAAACACACACAGTAAAGATAGAGTTCTTGTCCAAATAGAATAAACTCATAATAACAATTACAGTTAAGCACCTTCTAATATAAAAACTGTAGATTTTTTTAAACTTCAAATACCTGATTATTTAAGAATGCTTTGTAAATGTCTTCAAGATTTTCACTCATAACCACAAAACCTCTGATGGCTTTTTGAAATAATTTCAAAGAGCTCTGCAAATAACAAATTTGATTAGTTTTGGGTAGGTTACATGATCCTTGGAATTTTGATGATAGAGTTTGTGTGGATTAGTCTCAGCACAAACCTTTAATAATCAGCAAAGGGAGATGCATCTCAAAGGTTTGTGAAAATTAAAGTTAAAAAATTTCAAGTAATTTATGAGTAAGTTTTGCAGAACATTTTGAAGACAGTGTTGTTTGGCTGCAGTGTGCCTCACTTGTTTACAGGCCTGACAGTTCGTGTCTCCACAAGTGAACTTTAAATCAATGCAATTTTTACATAAAACAAGCAATTATTTATAGTGACATTGTCACAATGCAGGGCTGAAATTTTTAATCATATTTTTAACGTATTTAATTTAAAATATATGTTCCTCACCTCAAATCAGTAGTGGCTTGCCCTGTACACCATACTTTCCTGTTAGCAATAGAGTCATGCCAGTTATCTAACACCTTTCAGGGGAAAATTTTTGAATTGAAATAACATGATTTCCAGTTTGCATTGGAAGTTCATATATAGTTAATCGGGTCCTTCTTCCCTTAAGCTTTCTATATCATAGCTTAACTTTCATCTATCCAACTCTGTTCTCAAGATTAAGAAAGGACTGGCAATAGATGCATGACAGTGGGAATATACAGATCTATAATTTTTTCAAATTGCAGCCCAATAATTTAAATTATGAGGGTTTCTATGTTTTGTCTATTTATTTTCTATGAAAAATGCATATTTTTCTCTTCCTTAAAAATCTGTTTTCAAAGTTAATTTTTAAATTTAAATAATCATTTTGTAGTTTGAGTTTGCTATTATTATGTTATAACTTAATTTTTGGTGTGTTTGACATGATATTAGTAATTTAGTTAAATAAATTCACAAAAATTTAGTTATAATTGCTTAAAATGTGAAATTATTCACAATATTTTTACACTCCTAAATGTAAAAAACTTATTTTAACATAGGGCAATTCTGAAAACAAATTTTCAAAAAGAAAATGCACAGTTTTAATAAAAAATAGACAAAATGTGTATAAAATCTTGTAATTTACAATTATTTTATGTAAAATTTGCATTGATTTAAAAAAGTTTATGAGACATGAACCAGGAATCTTATAAATGATTAAAGCACGCTGTTGCCAAACTACATTGTTTAATAAAATGTTCTGCAAAACCTACAAGTTCTTCAGTATTTTTAACTTTTCACAAAAATGTTCGAGAAGTATGCTTTCACCTTTTGCTCATTATTAAAGGTTTGTACAGAGACTTATTTACACAAACATTTTTGAAATCCCCGTGGACAAACTCCATAACCTCCCCTTATTAAATAATAAAATCAAATGTATCATTAATTTTCAGTCTAGAAACCCAATGTTAGAATAATGTTAAATAGACATAAGAGTTGTATTTATAGAAACTTGAATTTGAACAGATTCAAGTTGTATATATATCAATACATCTTTATTATGTAATAATTTAACATGATGTTTATTTTGTAAATTTTTCATCCAATGGAGATTATTATTATTATTAAACAAAAAATTAAAGACAGTCTGCCCAAAAAGGGGCCACCATTTATTTTTTGTGTTCCAGACTTCACATTCACGGCGACAGACCTTCCTTTATAGGCTACATGCCGCCAGAATTTAAAAAATAGTCCTTTAAAAAAACACAATTACATCCAATTAAAAAAATATTTTTAAAAAAGGAACTGGTGTTATACAGACGTCTTGCTTTCCATTCTTCCTATGGGGTGTTTCTGCTTTTATCTACTGGAACAAGCGCTGAAAATGCAGATTTCAGAAACTTCCCCCTGGTGATGATACATTCCAATTTTTTTTCTTTTGTAAATTTTTCGTCCAATGGAGATTATTATTATTAAACAAAAAATTTTTTAGGCAGACTGTCTTTAATTTTTTGTTTAATGATGTTTATGTCAATTTAATGTCACTGACTAGTTTCATCTGAGTATATACCATAAATGTACAAAATTAGAATGAAATACTATACAAATTATCTAACACAAATATACATATAAATGTAGTTAAAAGCTAAAATTATAATTTAATAATTAAAAAAATTTTGTCGTCAAAATTCCAGACGTAAAAAATCAAAGATTCTAGACAAATCTTAAATATAAATACAATAATGTATNTAAGGGAAAGTTAAGGTCTGTCTTTGATGTTGTTCGTTCGATTGGAGACTGCCCCGAGAGGGGAAGGAGGATGGCTTTTATACGTTTTGTGGTGGGAAAATTCGTCAGGTGACCAATTGTTTTAGCAGGTGTGGGGTTAAAGTTGGTGTTAGAATGACAACATTATTTTGCATGAAGCATCTTTGTCAAAATAAACATTTTTCAAATGAAAATGTTATAAATATTTATGTTTTATCAAATTCTCTTTTATAACAAAAGTAATTTAAAAGTTAAATCAAATGTTTTGCGGCAGTGTGATAAAAAACAGTCCTCTCCAGATGCAATGCAAATCTCAAATACCAGTCCTCCACTGGCTGAAAGCCAAAAAGGTCCAAATGCCCATAAGTCCAAAAAGCATTTGATTGGAGGGGAAATTCCATTTTGACATTAGGTTATACTAAACGATGTTTGGTAATTTGTTACATAATCTTGTCAAAAAATAAATAAAAAATTAAATTTTGAAATTCTATTATTGTTTGGTTATAATTGAATTCTATTATCATTTGGTTATGGTGAAAACTCACACTGTGATTACCTCTGAAATTCTCCTGTAAAACTACGTTTTAAAATAAATTGAACCCCATTTTGGTGAGCACCTCACTTAAGTGGTCGATTTGAGTGTGTCCTAAAGTGACATTTATTCTAATTTACATGGCAAACAAAATGGGAAGATTTTGTGTTCCCAAACAAATCAAAATGTGAAGCTCTGGATGACAGGTCTGAACCCCTCACTAAAATTCATGTTAAAATATTTTTTTGAAGAGAAAAACAGGAGATAGAAATTTTTTGTATGAAAAACACAATGCAAACATAAATAGTAGAATTTAAGTCCTAAGATCAACATTTCCAGTTTGGATAGAATTGATTCTTGTCGTTTCCATTGATTTTGACTTCTCCCATAATTTTACTTGAGATCTTGTTACATTTAGCAACGAGTGACCAACCATTTAGAAAACAAGAACAAGAAAAAGCAACCAATCAAAATGGGCAATCAGGGACAGAAAATAATGACAATCCCAAATTTCAAGGATGTGATAGCTTCTCCCGAAAATTCCAAGTGTCAGACCATTTATCATGTGTGCATTTCATGCCTGTCTTTGTCTCAGTCTACTGTCCTTGGATTGACATCTTCCCATCACTAGAAGTAGGCTGCATCATCCTGGAGCCATTGAAGGAACTCTCACTTGTGAACCAGGGACACTCCTTCATTTGAGACTATCTTGGAAAAGAGAGGAAGACCCAAAGACCATAGATTTTCCACCAACTTTAAACTTTTAAGATGGCATAAATCTCATAAGCTCCTTTAATGTCAAATAAATGGCTTCTTGTAATCATAGTCTATCTTAATGCCATTCACATCCACATATAATCCTAACGTCTGCTTTGTCTGTCCTGACCTCTGATGCCTCAATCATTTAAGACTGTGTGCATTGTATCTTTGCAAACATATTAAGAATTGTATATAGATATATAAATAAATTAATCAAATAAGATATTTTCACAAATTTTGAATTTCTTTAATTTAAAAACTGTTCCAAATTTATAACTAGAAAAATTTTTTTAATATGAAATATACAGGGTGTCCCAAATTAGACTTGACATTTCCCAGCTGGCTATAGCAAAAATTATTCATCAGAAAGTCATGAAAGTTTGGGAATGCCTTAATGAAATAATGGGAATTTTTTCTAGAGTAAATTTTAAGCTGAAATAGTGGCATATTGGCCTGCAAGATCCTCAGACTTGAATCAATGCGATTTTTGGCTCTGGGGCTATCTCAAAGACTTGGTATATAAAGACTTGGACCATCATCCCATAATATCACTGTCATATCTTAAAGACAGCATTGAATGTCACATGCATAACATTCCAAAATATACACTGCATGCAACTGTTGAACATGCTGTTTTATGCTTTCAGATGGTAGCAGACAATGGTGGCCAACACGTTTTGAACACATTTCGTTCACTTTACACAGATAACTTGTGTAGTTAAGTGTTATGTTCTGTATAAAGCTATAATAAGTCCAGTTGTGTGCGATGACATTTGATGATAGGGAAGCTGTGTTTCCATAAAAATTATAAATAAATACTGGAAATGACAAAAATAAGCAGTTTATTTATTTTAATTCTAAAATAGATACATTGACATGTATTTAGATTTTAGAAAATACAAGGGAAGTGGCACTTCCACAGCTTCCATAGACTGCACACCACTGAATAAGTTCTCTAGTAGTGGTTTTTGAGCTAATTTCTTTTTTGCTCTAGAAAAAATTCCCATTTTCATTAAAGCATTCCCAAACTTTCATGACTTTCTGATGAATAATTTTTGCTGTAGCAGCTGGGAAATGTCAAGTCTAATTTGGGACATCCTGTATGTATAAAATGTACTGGTAATCATAATATAGAAACTATTGATGAAATAATTACCTTTTGTGACTGTATTTTGAAACCGTCGTATTCCAGCTTGTCATCTAATTTTTCTAGAATGTCATTTGCCATTTGAAAGATCACTTCATCGTCGTATTTTCCAATTCCGGCAACCTGACTTTTAGGTTGTACTTCCAAAATCGTTGAAATTAACTTGGTAGTTTCATTTACCTGTAAAAATTATTTAAAAATATGAAACTAATGCAATGTAAAATTCAAATTTATTTGACATTTACATTAAAAAATTTATTGTATGAAATCTTTTAACATAAATGAATTCCTTCAAATGAATTCTTGTTTAAATACTGATATTTCCAAATCTTATAATGTTGTGAGCCGCCGGGGGTTTGGGAATTTCCTCTCCTTTCCGGTGACCTACTTTCTTGTCAAGGATGGCGTTTATGTTTTCTTACGTGTTACGCGAGTGGAGGAGAGTCGCAGGGGTCGACGATAAGACATTGGCAGAATCGAGTAATGACACCATTTAAAAACAAAACAAAACTTTATTTAACTCGCTAACTAAACAAAAAATTTACAAAACTCCTTCGACTTCGCGGATGAGAGAGAGAGTTTATAATAATATTTCATACCTCTAGGATGATATCGGATGGATACTCTGGCTTCAATCGTTCGGATAGGTGGTGCAAGGTGTGGCACCAGGTCTTCCAATTAAGGCCGTACAGTAGGTATAAGGGAAAGTTAAGGTCTGTCTTTGATGTTGTTCGTTCGATTGGAGACTGCCCCGAGAGGGGAAGGAGGATGGCTTTTATACGTTTTGTGGTGGGAAAATTCGTCAGGTGACCAATTGTTTTAGCAGGTGTGGGGTTAAAGTTGGTGTTAGAATGACAACATTATGACAAATTTTGCTGGTAATTGTAAACTATACACGGTTTGATCGTGAGAATGTTTATAGTTAAATAGAAAGAGTTAAAATTTCTCATGCACTCTATATTTCGTTTCTGTAGGTCCAAATTCCTTTAGTTAAAGGAATTTATTATAAATTTAAAGTATTAACTTCCTTTATGAAATTATATGAACTTCGAATTTCACAATGTATTGAATTTACAAGTATTGATACAATGAATTAAAATGAACATAGGAAAGTACCCTTCCCTTAGTCATGAGAGACATGATGAGAGCTGAGAGCACAACCTGTTTAGCCATCCATAGTTACAGCAATGCTAAAGAGTGATGTTACTATTAGCAAGTAACAATATGGCAGATTTTCTATAACAGAAAGTGCCTCAGAAGGCAGAAAACACTGCAACAACTCGATAATCAGTCACTTGATTTTAATAAAACTTGTTTTGTTTTTATTCTCATTTTGGTATAGGATTCTTACAAATGTGGTGGTGTTTTGTGTCATTTTTCTCTGTATTTACAGTAGAGCGTCGTTTATCCGAATCAATTGGGGACTGAGGTTGTTCGGATAACTTATTTTTCGGATAACCGATTATGTACGAAAAATATATTAACCTATCCCGTGTTGAAATTTTTCTCCGTCGCGTGTCGCTTTGTGTTGAATTTTCGTCTATGTTAAGCCTAATGTATACTTTTTAAAATAATAATCATGGCTATTGTATCATTAAAAATTATTTCTTTATTTCTTACAAACAAAATAAATATATTGAAAACTATAAAAACAAAAAAATATACTTTAGAGATGATCTAGTATCAAAAACGTTCGATTCGGCACAACACACAATCCTCAGAAAAACATCACACAAAAGTGCTAGTGCTGCCAGCTAAAAAACACACACCAACAAAAAAATATACTGGAGTAGCCCAAGATATAGCCAAAGATTGCAGCGCCACAGCACAAGCAAAAATTTAAATTTGCTGACTGGAATGCTTTCGGATAACCGACTTTTGGATAAACGACGCTCTACTGTAATAACAACCAACCAATCAAACAAACTCAGAGTTTTGATAGTATCCTATATAAATGTAATAAAAAAATTGAAAAGCAATTTAGTATTTTATTTCTTATAATTATAGCTTAAACCATTGTTAAGAAAATAAATCTGCTTTGGAAAAAGTTTTTTAGAAGAATTAATGCTGTTTATTCATTTATAATGTAGTGGTGTGTCTATCAGTTTATAATAAAAACTAAAACATTCTGTCATCTCAGACTAAATAATTAGTAAATTAATATGTTTTTAATATCTTACTGTTTACCTGATAACTTATATTTGCATTTTCATGCATGCCAAATATTTCTGGTTTGTCAATCAATGGTAAGCTATCGATGTAAGCTCGATATTCATCGAGTGACATTGCTTCTGGAGCATAATATATACCTATAAAATAAAATTTATAATCTTAATATGTTCCATTTAAATATAAAATTTTGTCATAATTATAATTAATTTCATTGTGAGAATAATTATTCAAAATTACCTGGATTGCATAATTTATAAAAATGAGATATCAGATCAGCAAAAAAGTAAATTTGAAAATTCAAACTGTTAAAATGATGTATCAAACCTATGTTTTTATAACTAATCTTAATATTTGCTGAATTTTAGTCTGTACATTCATATTATGTGCTTTTGACATAATGTCATAGTAACTACTACCATAAATATATTTTTATTAGTCATAAATACACCAAACTCTCAATTATCTGTGCTAATTAGTGCTCGAAAAATCCAAAATTGCCCTCTAAACTATAAAAAAAACTGTTCGGAGGTTTCAAATGAACTACAGCAAATATTAAAAAATATCTTTTCCTCTTTGCGGCAAAATGTTTATTAATGGAACAAATGTTTTTGGCCTGATTTATAGGCCCATTTTGGGTCTGCCACCTTAATAAAGGTTATATTTTTTGATATTTGCAACCAGTTACAGTTTTGTCTTACATTTTCTTGTATATATACAGCTCAATTTTGTTATAACGTGATACAAGTGCAAGTCCCAAGTTTCATAAGCCAAAATGTATATTTGATCAATAAACATCAAATATAGATTTCTTCTATTTTCAAAAATATCATGTAGAAATTTAAATTTTATATTTCTCTGTATAATTATTACATTTTTTCAAAATTACTGTATTTTAATTTTAGAACTAATAGGATATTTTTCCAAATCTGTTGTTTACAACACCAGTTTTGCCTACTGCAAAATAATAATCCAAGGCCTCACTTCCATTTCTTAGAATTGACAGTTGAGGGACGAAAGAAAAGCCAAACATTGCTTACAATACTTTTTCATTTTACTGTAATTCTAATATTTTGATAATGCATGGTTAATTGGGAGGTTGGCATATTTTAAATTGGTATTTTCATCTTTTTTTAATTAAATGAATTCAATTTAGAATAAGAGAATATGTAACATGTTTATCAAAAAACTGCTAATTAGTTCAGGTTTGATAAATGTTTTTGGGCTGCAATATGAAAAAATTGTACATCTATAAATCCCCACTGTCTGTCTGTCTATTTGTCTTTCCTTAAACTTGAGAACAGTGTTAAATAAATGAAATTACAAACCAGATATGGAAAGCTTAGGAGCAGGAGGTCCCAATTAATGATCTCCTGATGCAAACTGGAAGTCATGTTATTTCAATTCAAAAATTTTTCCCCAAAACAAGTTGGATAGATGACCGGCACAACTCCATTGCCAACAAAAAAGTATGATGTACAGGGTAAAAACACTACAGTACTAATTTGAAGTGGAGAGCATATATTTTAAATTAAATAAATTAAAAATATGATTTAAACTTGCAACCTAGCATCATGGTAATGTCACAATAAATAATTGTTTCAAATAGAATTATTGGGCAAAAATTAAATCCCTTAAGATTTAATTTCAAATTTTTTGTATTTATTCTGAAGTAGAAATCCCTCTTAGAGTATCACAGTTATTAAAACTTAGTGATAATTTCATTCATAATTCACATTTGTTTTTTTTAACTTTATAATTTGCAATAATTTTAAAATAACTCAATAAATTAAGTTATTTAAAAATTTTTATAGCCTTAAAACAACTTAAAGCATTCTTCATTGAATTAGAAATTTAAAATAATTTAAAAATTGATTGTTTATAAGATTAAAATGTAACAATTTACCTGAAGCAGAATATTTGTAACCCTGTCGAAGAATGTCTGGGGAAAAGAAACCTTTTAAGACAGTTTTTAAGCATCTTAAATCCCACATATCCATGATTCGTCCACCGTAAGTTATCTAAATAAAAGAGAATAATTTTTTTAATAAAGAAATGTTAAATATTATCGTAAAAGTATATTACAATTTAAGTTTCGATAATTATTTTGATTTTACCAACTCTATTTATTGTTTTATACTTATAAATAAAGTCGATATAATCAAAATTAATAAAATCAATTATATTTGAAAAGGAATTTCTCTTTCCTGAATTTAAAATAAAAAATTTTGTCATTTCTAAATCCTGAAAATTGAAACTGTATATTACTGTATTATGTAATACTTCTTACACAAATATCTCTAAACTGAAAAAACGTAAAATATGGTTTATATTCTATATTACAAACATTCCTTTATTTCTATATGAATTTGAAATTTTATTGTTAAAGTCACATATTAACATACTACACCAGTGGCAAGTTATCCTATGGACAAAAAGGACAATTGCCTGGGATCCCCACCAACAGGGGGCCCAAACTGGGCCACCAGTGGCAGAGTGGATAAAACCACTGAACAATGCACTGGCCATGTGGAGTTTTCTGGGTTTTCTTCACATTAGTAACACCTAAATAAGGACCAGTTTTCCATAGAAGACCTCCCAGAAGGCATTCCCCTTAGACAAGTGTCATGTTGCCATAATTGAATAAAAACAAAACCAACCCAAACCAATCTTTTATAAAAACATTTTTCCAAAAAAAAAAAAATGTCAGAAGTCAACATTACACATGGGGACCCCTAATTCATCTTTGCCAGGACCCCATGAAGCTATACATATCATTGTATTGCACCTTTATGAAGGAGGATTGATATTTATTTTGGCAAAACTTATTTATAAATTTCGTTGTCTGCAGGATAATGAAAATTATCTTTAAATGTTGGATTAGTACAGAACTACTATAAAATTATTATTAGGGTCTGGTTATTGGACTGCAATTTTCAAAAATTGTAGATCTATAAATTCCCACTGGCATCATCCATCTGTCCTTCCTTAATCTCAAGAATGGAGTAAGATAGATAAAAGTCTAGACCAGTTATGGAAAGCTTCCTAGAGGCAGAAAACCCTAATTAACTAACTATATATGTGTGAGGCTCTGGACAGGTCCAAACCATCACTAAAATTCGCGTTAAAATAATTGTTTTAGAGAAAAAAATATATAATAGTTACAAATAGATTTTTATTTTATGAAAACGTGACGCTAACTTTTAAACAATAGAAGAATGTAAGTCCATCAACCATTTCCGATTGGAGATCAAATTAAACTTTGATTTTGACCTCTCCCGCGCCCCGAAAGGTTTTGAATTGTCATCAGATGATGAGGAGAGACCAATCGGAAAGGGGAATCTGAGAGAAAACAGATAAAACCCCGGAAATTCAAGGATGCAACGGCTTCTTCTCCCGAAAGTTCCAAGTGACGGATCTGTTGTTGTGTGTGTGTCTCGCACCCATCTTTGTCTCCATCTCCCGACCTCGAATCGACATCTTTCCATCAATGGACATCGACTGCATTGTCCCGGAGTCGTTGAGACGTGATGGAAGGGTTCATTCGCGAACAAGGGACACTCCTTCAAAATGGGACTATCTTGGAAAGGAGAGGAAGACCCAGAGGCCGCAGCCGCCGCAGAACTTCCAAGATCGCGGAAATCTTGTAAGCTTCTTTTGTGTTTAATAAATGGTTGTGTTGTCTGTAAACGAAGCATCTATCTCTGACTCAACTGCTTCCACATGTCGTTGATTGTTACCGCTCAGCAATCCAAATGGCAAAAGAGACGATGACGATATATATCACATATTATTGTTCACAGAGTTTTTTCTCCCCCGTTTGGCCCCCACATATGAACTTTTGATCTTCTGATTTGGGCCAAAAGTCATGTTATTTCAATTAAAAAATTTTCTCCTGAATGAAGACTGACAGACAACAGCATGCTCTAATGTTAACAGAAATAGTATGATGTTCAGGGACAAGGAATTACTAAAATTGAGTGTGTTCTGATGAAAAATTTCAGCCTGGCATTGTGACAATGTCACAATAAATAACTGCTCAATTTATTTGTTGTTCTTTTAAGTTTTTTTGCTTCAAGTTATAAAAATTCACTATTCTTTTCTCAACCTTTTTTTTATTATGATGTCATAAAGAGTTAACAACAGCTGTACTTATTTTCTCAAAAAATAAGAAATTTTTTCATTTTTTTTGCTCTTTCCACCCTGAGGGCACCAAGAAGGTCTTTTTAAATTATATGAACTGTGGATTTGGCCAGATCCACAATAGGAACAGTCACACAGTATGTCTACCCTATTTGTGTGTGAGCATTCATTGATTCACATCCACTTCTTTTGATGTGCTTTTGTGCACACATGCTGTTATTTATTCTTTTGCAACCATGTTCTTTCTTATGTTTCATACACAAGTTCTAAATTTCCAAATGCACCAGAAATGTGTATTCTTATGTGCTCACTCACAAAATGATAGCAAATGCAATTTTTGATTATATGTTTCTTCATGAAGATTTCCTCCCCATTTGTAACTTAGTAAATTCTTTTAGTCTAGAAGTTTTTAAAAATCAAAGTTAATTTGAATTTCCGTCAGATGAATAAATTACTTTTTACAAAATTAAAAGACAAAGTCGTTCTAAAAATATATATTTCAGACGATTACCATTTTTACAAAGTGTTCTAGAACAAAGTACAGACAGCTGGACCTTCCTTTTTAGGCTACACAACTGCCTATATTTAAAAAGTTCCTTAAAAACACAAAAAAACCAATAAATATTAAGAAAAAATCTTCTTTAAAATTGGAATGATAAATCTTACGACGTCTTGCTTTGTTCTAGAACACTTTGTAAAAATGGTAATCGTCTGAAATATATATTTTTAGAACGACTTTGTCTTTTAATTTTGTAAAAAAATCAAAGTTAAGTTAAAAATTTATTTCTGAATCTTAAACTGATGTCTCATATTTTGAAATCATGGGGAAGAATTATAGAAATTAAGTTTTCTTGCTGTATTTTAAAATAATTTCCTCTGCAAAATCAGATATTCTTGTTATTTTCTACCTTTTTGCAACTTAAAGAATCTCATCCAAAATTTCAATTTTGTGTTCAGTCTCACCAGTTTTGACATTGTATTCTTTTGATTTAGAATATATATGGCTGAAAACTGCAGTTTCTGTCTTTGTATGACACACGCAAACTTACCCACATCTTTTGTAACCAAGTAGTGCACAAGTTCTCCCAGTACTGTCAACATGCAGTGCACACATGTTACACATAAACACAAGGTGAGTAGATCCAGTGAAAGATAAGGCCAACCATATCTGGTACAGACCACTCCCAAAAAATTCCTGCTGTTTCTAACCATGGTTCATATCCGAGACCTTTAGAGCAGCAGACCAATGCCCTAACTGCTTTGGCCATCCAGCAATTCATAAAAATAGAAATTTATGCTTTAATATAACAGATTTTTCCAATAATATATGGCAGGGGTGGCGAACCATTTTGAGCCCGCATGCCATACTGTAAGCATACTTAGCTTTAAAGATGTTTATGTGGGCCAAAGTTTTAAACTTCGAATAACTATATTTAAATAAATTAAACAAAAATGCTTTAATTAGAATAAATGAAACAATGATTGAAAAAGACAAACGAGAAATCAAAATTGTACGATACGTTACGATGATTTCTCCTTACGTGCCACTTTGGGCACGCATGCCATAGGTTCGCCACCCCTGATATAGGGCATAAAAGTGTATAATTTTAAATTGAGATTTTTAATATTTTTTTGTTAAATTTGACAGACTTTCCTCTCTCCTTTTTTTAAATAAAAATTCAAATGATTATATACTTGAATTTATAACTAAGCTGAATTTTACTATAAATACAAAAAATTAACAGAATATTTTAATTAATAAAAATATTCTGTTTTCATTATTTTATTGTAACAAACATTTTAAAATTAGAAAATTAAAATTTTTTAATTTTAAAATAATATAAATATTTTGCAAAGAAAATAAATGGTGCATATGTGGCTTTATAATACTTTTTTCAGATTTTCAAGTAATATTTTACTCGAATTACACAGAAATTGTTATTTAGTAAGTTCTATAATAAGATACAAGTAACCCTCGGTTTATGCCTGTTCAATTTACGCCGATTCACAATAACGCCGCTGCACAATTCGTGATTTTGCTGTGTAATTCCCCAATTTTCCCTATGCCAGACTGATTTTCGTTTCAGTGTTGACATATTTACTGAGCCGCAACATGTACATTCGTTAAAACAAAGATTTTTATTGAATATATTTATTTTTTCTGTTTAATATTATTGGGTATGTATACATTTGTATTAAATTAATATTAAAATACTAAACGTTTAGGTACCCACGAGTCAAGTTATCAAACTTAATAGTCCAATAAATGGCGTCCGAATCCATAGCGCCATTGAATTTATCCCGTCCTTTCGACTATGGAAAGTTTGACGATTGAACTTTGTGAGTTAGACAATGATTGGGAGCGAAGTGCGAATGTAAAAAGGAGCATAGTCGCATCCATTCGACCATATTCCGAAATTCTCAATGAAAGAAAACAAAAATGTAAACAATTAAAGATGGATACTTTTTCTGAAAAATGTAAGAGATCTGAAACTAAAATTTTTAATAAAAACATTTAACTTTATTTTATGATAAAATACATTTTAAAAATTAAATTTATTTGTACTTTGTATTACATTGTATTAATAAGCAAAATTATTTGCGTATTTTTCACTTATGTGGAACCTAACCCTATACCTCAGTGTAAATATGGGTTCGTTTTACGCCGATTCGATTTGCGCCGGCTTTTGTAGGAACGGAACTGCGGCGTAAACCGAGGGCTACCTGTATTTAGTTTTATGTAATTAAAATGAAAATAATAAAAAAAATTACCTCTCCAGTTAAATATTCCAGAGCATCCCAATGAATAATGCCATCTTTGCATATGACTTTTAGCATTTCTATTGCACAAGTGCAGTCGTTATCACTAAATTCATACTAAATAAAATAAAAACATTTAAATTACAAAAATTAATAATAAAATACTATACAAGAGTGTAAAAAGCAACTACAGGATGAAAAAACAAATGCTACAAATTTTAGAAGTCAAAAGCTGTTTTGGTAAAATGCTTTTCAGAACCACTGTCTTGTTATCAGATCCTGTTATAATGTAAATTAAAGAATTTGATATAGCAATGAATGAAAAATGTAAAACTCGAATACAATAAAATGAACTAAAAAAAAAAATCACAATGACAAGAACTGATATGGATATTGTGTGATGGTGTTAGAGTCCAGATGAGGGTGATGAAATTTTAACCTTATGGAGAAAAGGTTAGATCTGACACATAAAATACGACTCACATCAACCATTAAACACTGTGAATATGATTAGCACGTGAGCTGAATGATATGATTAGAACATTTTCATAACCCCTTTTGGGCTCTTCAGGTTTTTTTTTTATAATTCAAAACAGGCTATAAAAAAACCTGAAGAAGAGCCCAGAAGGGGTTACAAAAACGTTCGTTGCTCAAGTGCTAATTGTATTCACGCCATTTAATGGTTGATGTGAGTCGTATTTTATATTCATCCTGGTGTGCCATGCAATTATGTAGATCTGACACTTTGAGTAAAGTAATGTAAGTAGCCAAACTTGACAGTTGCAAAAAAAATTTGTCCTAATTTATAAAAAGACTTACAGAAACTCTTAATGTTACCACCAGTGATGAGAAAGTCCATTGGGTCTACTTTTTTTGGAGGAGAGTCCTGAGAGAAGAGACTCTGTCCTATTCTCTCAGTGGCTCTAAGGTGATGTTGTTGACAGTCTAGAGAGGAGGTGATGTCGATTCAAAGAGAGAGAGAGAGAGAGAGAGAGAGAAAGAGAGAGAGAGAGAGAGAGAGAGAGAGAAAGAGAGAGAGAGAGAGAGAGAGAGAGAGAAAGTTGAGGGTGAAGTTAAAGACACAACAAAGAAAGGTCACGCACCTAGATAAACCAGAGGGAGATACTCTCTTATCCTTGAAATTTGGGGCTTTTATTATTTTGTCCCCAATCAACCATTACAATGGTTGTCTTTCCTCAGTTTTGCTTTCTATGTAGTCATTCACTCATTACTAAGTGTAATGAGAACTCAACTTAAATTGCAGGATGGGTCAAAATTGACATTTAATTAATTTGATCCCAAGCAGAGATAGTTGATCTTGGGTCTAACATTGTCTAGCTTCCTTTGTCGTGTTTCTGAGAAAACTTTTTTCATTATTATTATATTTCCTTTTTTAAAAAATATATTAAATATTAATAAATTTAGTGTGGTTCCAAGACATTTCTGAAGTCTCACAGTTTTGACTTCTTAATAGTAAATAACACACAAAATTAATTTATCTAAAACAATAGCTAAGATTTAAAAACTCTAGGGAGATGACTAAAATATTGATCAGCTTGTGAAGTTTCTTGATCTGAGTTGATTATTTTTAGATCATCAGCATTGACTATAATTTTAAAATTAACACAATGAATAGACTTATTACTGCTCTGATCTTGCTATTTAATTTGGAACCACAAAGAATTCTGCATACTGACAAGAAATTACAAAAACAAAAGTCATCTGGCTTAACTTCTGTAGGAACATAGTAAAAAATGAATCATTTAGCCAAGCTAGAACAAAAAGATTAACATCAAGAGTTTTTAAAAAGTCTTGTAATAAGGAAGGTATAACTGAATCAAATGCCTGACTGATGTTGATGTACAGTACATGACAAGAATGGTCAATAAAAAAAACCTATTTTATGTTGAGTAGGAACTAAATGAGTAATGGTACTGTACATCAAAACTGGATGCTACAGTGCCAAATAGAATTCAGGTCTGGTCCTCACAGAACAATAAATGTAATAGTAGATACTGTGTTTGAGAATTTTCAGTATAGCTGCAGACAAAGATATAGGTCTTTATATGAAGAGTTTCTTTTATGAATTGCAACAATAAAAGAGGTAAGCTGTGATTTTGGAATATGACCTTCCCGAATTATTGAGAACATGGAATACATGGAATAAATGGAAGATGCAATAGATAAAATATTACTATAAAATATAATAGGAACAAAATGAGGACTTGACTTTACACACGGAACTTTTTTGCTTCAGCTATTTTTTGAAAAACCAACCATGCATGCAAACTTCCTAAAGAACTTGAAAAATACTAGGTGTTCTCATTTGAATTTCTGTTTTTTCATATATTTAGATCTAATGATGGGTTAGAAGATGTCCCAAAAAGAATTTTACTAATAAGGCTTTGACTCCTAAAATTCATAACATTTTGTGTTCTATCCCAAAGCATTTAATTGAAAAGATTCTTATAATTTATATTTTCATAATGTAATACCATATTTAAACAATTGTCATAAGTTACCTGTGCAATATTTAAATTGCATAGGTAACTTATGACAATTGTTGGGGCTGCTTGATTATGGTACCACAATGTTATGTAAAATTGTTATTAAAAAAAAAAAATAATAATAATAATAATAGTAATAGTAATAAATAATATTAATAATGATGAAAACATGCAAATAACTTTAAATTTATTAATATTCATTCAATTTTCATGTTTAAATATAAAATACAAATATATAAAGCTCACATAAACAATAAAAATAAGATAACAACAACATTATACTAATTTAATTTAGTCTCANTTTTAAATAAAAATAAAAGAAATTAAACTAATTGGCATAATGGAAAATATTTCTTCCTAAAAGACAAAGAGTCTATCAAAACCATATGTAAATTCTATGCATTATCAAATGATCTCAATGCAGAATTACATGTTTTTCACTTGCTTGGGAGAAACCAAAGAAGCTTTGTCAAATAATTTTGAGACTGCCTTACCTAATAGGAGTGTAAGTGATCTGAGAAAAGTTATAATACTTTCTCAAACATTTGATTGAAAGTTCTTTCCAAATATACAAAAACTAATCAAGATTTGTCTCACTAAACCCTACAAACAACTTTGGCCAAAAGAACTTTCTCTTGTCTTTGACACCGAAAAAATGACAATGTGTTAGGAAAGACTTTGCAATCTTTTTGTATATGTAACTGAGAAGAAATGCTGTACAAATATTCAGCTCATAATGAAAAAATTTGCTAAAGAATGTTAACGTAAATTTTTTATCAGTAATTTATAGATTTAAAAAAAAATCAAATATATTCTGCTTGCAAAAATACTGTTTTAAATACCTATAGATCAAATAAGTAATAAACCTGTTTTCCTTCTCTCTTTCTTCCCTCTATAACAAAATAACTAATTGATACAGCTTCAGTTACTTAAGCTGTTTGTGAGGTTTTTCTAAAGAAATAAAATTAAAAACAAATCTAAATCTTACTTAGCATATAGATGCTATTGGAAATATGAATGAACAGATCATTTCACAAATCCCAGCTGGGAGCTGGATATTATGAAATATAGCTCTGGATTATTTAAAGATCAAGAAGCAAATTGTGATGTGTTTCAGATCCTATTAAATTCATATAACCTGTACCTTTTACATACTGACATAGACCCTTCCAACATACTATCATAATAGTCTGGCCATGATTTATAAAACATACTATAATTACACCTTAACAAAAAACTATAATTTGTATTTTATGTAGTCTTCAAGTATTTTAAACAAATAAAACTTAATAAACTCGTATTTATGAATTGTGTTTTTATTATTTTACACATCAAAAGTTTCAAATATATTTGTCTTATTTAATGAGGAAATGTACAGATTTTCTTAAGACAAAAATTTATCAATAAACTAACAAATCAACTTTTATATAAAAAAAGAATTTTATAATATGTTTTGTATTTAAGTTAATTACAGATGTAAAAAATAAAAAAAACTCTTTTTTAATACCTTGATATTCCATCCCAAAGAGCCAAATTTTTTTCTTTCTAAAATAACTGCATGAAAAAAGCAAAGTCCAAAAATCATCTTTCTCCAATCCAACTTCAGCACTGAAATTTTAATCATGAATAAAGAAAAATATTATTATTATTAAAATTATTGTTTTATATGGGATGCTTTGATAAGCAAAATATGTTTATTATTAAGAAAATAATTCCAAATGGCAAAACACATTATATTCTGACACAGAGTATTTTGACATTTGGAATCTATTTCTAGAATAAGTAATTTTAATTATTGGAAGCTATTTGTCCTACTGTAAATGCTATGTAACTTGTGAGACCAGTTAGGAAATAGAGAAAGTAGTCAGTGTGTTTTATGAATTCAAATGGTGTAAATGTGTCCATTCTTTCTTCTTTCGTGAAATATGCCACTGCGTAAAGATCTACCCAATATTAATATAAAAAGATAACAGTAGTAACGTTCAAAATTGCCACTTTTTATTATCTAATAAGAATGGCTATGCATTCCTTATTTATCTAAACAAAAGTACCCTTATTGAATAGCAAATATGTTATCATATTATTTGTGATAAATAACTTTATTAATTATATTCAAAACTGAAATCTATCTACTACAAAGACAGATTTGTTATTTTTTTTATCTAGTATTTTCATGTTAATAGATTAAAAAAAAGCGAGAGAAGCCTTTATAGCTCTATTACAGTAATACTATAAATAAAAAAATAATTCTGTTGAACTGAAAACCAGAATTACACTGTACTAAATTATTTTTTCTAGTTTAAACAGGTTTTAATATTTTTTCTTTTGTTTTAATCTTTAAATTACACTGCATAAATATCACTCATTAAACTTTTACAGTAAAGTAATTTTTATTTATATAAAACAAATTTTATTACTAGGCTTAATTCAAAGTAAATCCATCTAAAGATGGGAGTATTTGAATGCAAGAATCAAGAACTATTTAATTGCAAAAATATCTTATTGCCAAGAGCTTGTTCTAGGTATTCAAATACTTCTCAGATGCGATCCTTATAAGTCCAAATGATAGTGAAAGAGCCAATTTGAGTACTAAAAAGTATCTCTCACTCTGCTGTTTGAAATTCCAATTGCATTACAGTACCACAGAAAACAAAGTTATTCTGTGATTTGACTTCTTGAAGGATTTTAATATTATAATTAACTTTAATGTTACCAACAATGCTAATCAACTTGTTATCGAATACTTGATACAAGTTAGTTACTAACTACTCCATGTAAGAAAAACTGGTAGCACTGTGTTGCCTTATTCTCACTTTTTTCACAAATTATATTTGTGCTTGTTCTCAAGAACTCGATTCACAGAATTAATATGCCTCAATGTCCTTAATTTATTCAAATATTCTTTCATTCACAAGTACATAATAATAATGAATACTGTTGAGACAATTTTTAATGAATAATTGTTTGTGAAAAATAAAATACAATTAAAATAAAAATTATATCAATTTATTTTAATTATTTACATTTCATTGCAATTACACCTCTATTTTCTATTTACTTATTTTACAAAATTCAAACATATTTAGAGATTTTTAAGATGAAAACTTTTCATATATTCCTTTAAGTACCACAGCCTGAGTAAAAAAGTAGATAAGCATATTTTTAGTGTAGAATGTCTCATCACAACATTTGATTTGAATTATCCAATATGTAATTTTTAAGTGTTCTATTTGAGTATGTGTACTGTGGCTTGAAGATGGTAATGCCCTTCAATATAAATAAGCGAGTGATAGGAAAGCAACCAAGATAATTTAAATTCATTTCTGATTGCTGATACTGATTCATCATATTGTAAATCATGTAAATATCCTCCTCACTCTCGCACTGAAAGTATCTGTCGTATAACATAGAGCAGATATCTATTTCCTTGAAATTTTGCTGTCCCTTTGTGGCTTGTGCCCTAGGCAGTTGCCTAGTTTGCATAAATGGTTGCACTGGCCCTGGCAACAGCTCTGTTAAAATCCTAACCATCTCATTCAGAGGGTGTTAATAAAACATGAAGTAAGAGCACCCTCTATAATAAAACACATTTTAAAACAAGAATATCGACCACCCACGCTGGCTGCCATCTTGAAATTAACAAGACTTAATAGAACAGGATAAGTCCTGTTAATAGAAATATGTACTTGTGAATGAAATAATATTCGATTCACAGAAACTTGTTTAATTCTGTCCATTGTGACGTTTCAGTGGTAATGGTCAGGTTTTGGGCTATACATAACTTTATTTTTTTTGTTTGTTTGGGTTGTATAAAGAGTTGGCAGCACTTTAGAGGGAGAGAAGGAGTATTTAAGGAATTGTGGATTGGCTGCCGAGAGCTTTTTCCTTTGTGTGTGTTCAGGTGTTCTGAGGAACTGTGTTGTGAAGCGGAAGCAGTATCTAGACAGACAGGTAATATCAGACTAGTATTGAAGCAATTGGTTTGCTACAGTGGAATTGTTAACCAGAGGATTGGAACATTTGTTAGGTTTCAATCAATTGTTGGTAAGGAACATTTACCAAGAATTAGTTTCTACGTGAGATGTATGTGTCTTGGTTGGCCGAAAGGACTTGTATTATATAAAATTCATTGTAAAGACTAGATTGTATAGTTTGTAAGTGACTGTATATGTGTCCTATGAGTGACTGTATAAGTTGGCATTCCTTTGTCTTCCTTACCATGTGGTAATCTTTCACATTCACAATTATCTTAATACCGATTATTGTGATCCCCACATTATTGGTGTCTGTAACAGGATTACCATGTGTTTAATAATGGAGACGGCAAGTACGGAGGATCTGAATGATATTGCGGAAATCACTGGGACCAAGTTACTGCAACTCCAGTCGTCACGGGATATTTAGGAATGATCCCAAACTTCTCCGGCTCCCAATTGGATAATATTATGATCAAACAGTTCTTTGACATATTAGATGAAGTTTCATCAATTGCCAAATGGAACAACTGGGACTGGGACCCGCTTGATAGTGGTGCAATCTAGGTTGAAGGGTGGATCTTTCAACCTATTTATGGATTTACGTGCTGCCTACAGTAATGATTATGATTGGATAAAAGCTTCTCTTGTGTGTAGCTTTCACAGGCCTAAGCAGAGTGATGGGAACACTCTGCTTACTGAAGGATTTTACTTCACACTTACTTACTGCACACTGAAGGACTTTATAGATATACAGCAGAAACGAGGGGAAACCATGGGTGAGCATAGAGTTTGATTATATATCGCATTCGAAAAAACGATCTGTACGAACCCCACATGACTACCCTTAAGAGGCAAATTCTCCTTAGTCAGTTCATTCAAGGACTCATCCCAGATCTGAGGATGAAATTATCGGAAGGTGACCCCCAATCATTTAATGATGTGGTAGAACTGGCAGAAAAACTGTATAAGATCAAACAAATCTGTGGCTTTAGAGAGGTTCAGGTGGGTGATGTAGTTGTGCCTTCTCTTCGCAAAGCAGAACCACCCGAGAAGGAGATAACCAATACAGCAGAGTTATCGATGAGATTGGCTAGCCTGGAGGAAACCATGTTGAAGCTATCTCATGCGATCATGGGATTAACCCTTAAACCGAATGAGCAGGATACAAGCAAATGAAGGGTGGGGATAGATCAGATTAGGAAATGTTTCATTTGCTAGAGTGAGGAACATTTGTGTGTCAATTGCCCACTGAAGTTAAACTAAAATGGAGGCACTGTGACAGCCAGGTCGGTGGCTCAGAGTTAGTTATTAAACTGGCAAGTGAACCAAGAATCAACGACTACCAGCTCCCATTCATTGCGGGTGAAGTTAACAGACATGCAGTGAGCATGTGGATAGACATCAGAGCTGAAACATCCCTAATAAACCAAAATGAACTTGATTTTTTGGGGATCATGTCTCCTGTTTGTAATGTTGTTAATGTAAGGGTGAAGGGTGTATCCGAGGGCATTATGAAGTGCAACAGGAAATTTTTGATTAAGGTGGAGTTTGCCAACAAGGTGATCCCCACACTCAGTTCATTGGTGTGGACTCTGAAATCTTGGTTGGTAGTCAAGGTATCCTTGGCATGGACTTTTTGAACTGAGATATTGACAAAAATAGCTGGTGTTGTTAGTAGTAATAACCTCCAACTGCCCCCCACAGACTGTGGGGCTTATATCATGTCATAAACTCTATAATTAAATTGTGAGCTAATAGATCTGACCCACTTACTGCTTGGACAGGCCACTCATGTGCAGCAGGTGGTCAAAGAATTCTCCGACATATTCAGTGAGTGCATAGAGAAACTGAAGGGAATGACTAAATTCACCCATGAATTCACCGACAAGCTGATATACACATGTGAAGGTTATGGATGTACGAGACAAATCGTTCCAAGAATATCAATTAAACAATAATTTATTATAACAGGGATTTACAGGTCTTTTAGAGATGCCCGTCAGAGACAAAACACGAATATACAATAGGTCTCCACTCTCGTCCAAAATCTTACAATTTTTAAGAATCACAATATATGGTCTACTCACTAACTTATAATTAACTTATATTTAACTTAATCTAATATTAAACTAATAAGAGGAAAGGGAAGGAAAGACAGAAAAGGTCTACCGGTAGTTAGCTCAGGAGGTCCTGATGGTGGTTTCCGAATATTGCGGGGGTTTTCTCGGCCGACTTTGGTATATTCAACATTCCTGGTATAAATCTTGGCACTTATTTTTCTTAGACTATTATCTTTCACCAATTAAGTCGCTAGTCCTCTTCTCTTCTCTCTGGACTGCGCTAAACCTCGCACATGGGGCTGGTTCTTTGTCTTGGGTCTGACTTAGTGTCTCGACGAGATTTTCTTAACCCTCTCTCCTCGTCGTCCAGGCAAAAAGTGTCCTTCTCACCCCACGGGCAGGGCCGCACCCTGTTCACCTCGGTAAGCCACCAATCAGGACCCACGAAGTTCCCGCTCCTGATCGGGTGACCGGAAATGGTCATTAGCAGAAGAAGAAAGAAGGAAAAGAACAAAGAATCTTAAATCTAAATATTCTAACTAGGTATATACAAAATGGCGGACAGCCACAA